TGACATAATAATAATATGTATATGATAAATATAAAACAATATGTTAAAAAATACTTATATAACACAGAATATAAATTACTTAAACTAGTTAATAAAAATACGACTCAATTCAAATATATCACCCAAAAAGTTGCTAACAATGCAGCAAGTAGGTGCAATACAAAAAGGAATACAAAATTATTAAGTTTCGACAGACAAGATTAATATTATTGTGAAGCAGTGTATAGTTGGTATAGTTATGTCCATGTACAAGCCAAGATTTTTTATGGAATCACGATATGGAATCCGAGTTCCATTATAAATTACAGGAGAGAGATTTCCATAATCAATCTTAGCCAATAATTGTGAACTTCCGAAGATTATAGCTTTGCATTTGGCTGGATTAACTGAAACGCCATATTTATACAACCATTCTCTTATGGCTTCCAGGTTATTATTTAGTTTATGTACTACATAGTTAAGGTTATTTAAGTCTGACTGCACATAGAGCTGAAGATCATCCGCATACAGATGGTACGAACAATCTAAAACTGAGGAGATATAGTTTATAATTAAGAAAAACATAATAGGAGAAAGTATTCCGCCTTGCGGCACACCAGATTCAATTTGAGACCATGCAGAAAAACGCTGACCTGAACGAACCGATTGCTGGCGGCCGCGAATATAAGAAAAGAACTACTCCAAGGCTGGGGATGAAAATTTAAGGTGTTTAAGGATAGATAGGAGGATACTATGATCTACCGTGTTGAAAGCGTTTGAAAAGTCAATAAGCACTACCACTGTTAATTTATGCTCATCCAAGCCTTTTCTTATATCGTCTGTGACTTTGATAAGCAAAGTGGTAATGCTGTGACCAGAGTGAAACCCCGATTGAAATTCATTCAGCAGATTATGTTTTGCAATGAACACAGATATTTGCTTAAAAATACAGGCTTCCAGAACTTTAGAGAGGTACGAGTATGGGAGAATTGACATAGGACAAAAATGGTTAGGGAGTACAGGATTAGGTATTTTAGGAAGGGGTCGTACAAAAGCCTTTTTCCATGCAGAAGGTTATTGAGCTGGAAGTAGGTACTCAAGTATCATAGATATCTTTCGCTTACTAATTGCATCATAACCCACAGCCTTAGATTTAATGGCTAACAGAGCTTTTTTTTATTTCATCCTGAGTAACAAGGGAGAAATAAAAGTCAGGGATCCGGAGAGGCTGCATTGATTCTATAGAAGCAATAGTTTGAGAACGGACTTGAGGGTCCAATGAAGTAATAGAAACAAAGTGACGAGTAAAATTAAGAGAGGAGCCAGATTCCGGGGAATTACATTTATTAATTCCGAGATATCTAAGGAATTTCCAAACATCACTGGGCGAAGAATTAGTTATTTTGTCATGAAAGTAGCGGCGTTTAGCATTTCGTACCACCTGATTGAATCTGTTTCTTAGCAGTTTAAAGTTACACCAATTTTGTTTAGAGCGATCCTTTTTAAACTTTTGGAAAGCCCGATCTCGCCGCGCCATTGCCACCTGGACCCTTTTAGTCATCCAGGGAGCAGGAGGACGCTTAACTTTTACACTATGTACTGGAGCATGAATATTATACAAATTCAGGATGGTATTATTAAGAAAGGATATTTTATCATCGATGTTAGAAGCTGCCACCAAAGGGCGAAAATCAGTTGCAGATGCGTCTCTCCTGAGACTCTCAATATTTATTCTAGAAAAATTGCGTAACTGCAGAAAAATAGGCTATTATATATATTATTATATTATATATTTTTATATATTTATATATTTTTATATATTTTAATATATTTATATTATATATTTATATATTATATAATTAATCAGGGTATGGAATAAAATCTGTTTGCCGTCAGTATTTATAAAAATATTGAATCACACAAGGCTGTAAAGGTCTAAGACCTTTGCATGCCTTAGTTGGCGAAACGTAACAACAACAATATCTTTTACATAGTTTGTATTTTTCTACCTACTTTATACTTTATTACTAACAATACTAATTTACTTACTAATATAGTTGCGTTATTATATAAAGTACAAAGTAGATAATACATAATATTAAATCCTTAATAGTTAAATTAATTAAACAAAGAAGACAAATATAATGTAATGATACCGTTAAACAATACAATAATAAAAAGCTTGAATAATATCAAGCAAATTAAGACTGAATAAATTAAAATTTAATTATATTAATGAATCGTTAGAATTATAAGAAAGCATTCGAAAATATCACTAATGCCATTATTTTTTGGTCACAACACGACGCACCCTTTTATCTTCTTTGCTTGAACCCAACGGTGCCCGTTGACAGCGTGGGATCACTTCTTGTTGGCGATTACATTTAGATGTACTTTGCTGTGATCCACCAGATAGATTACTTGTGCTATCTTCGTTTTTGGGAGGTGTTGCATTAGAAAGAGGAGAACACCCTGGCGAGTACTTGGATGCAAGATTATTGAAGTCTTCATCTGAAGTTACTTTTGCACGACATCAGGCAATTTAATGTATACTGTGCCATCAAGCGTCCACATATTCCTCATACCAAAGTGCTTCCTGGCCTGATTGTGAATATTTTGACGTATCTTTGAGAGAAACTCAAATAATGTGAAAGACGTACCTTTTAATTTGGCCTTAGACTTCCAAACTACTGATTTTGTGTGGTGATCATGGAACTGGACGAGGACTGCTCTAGCTTGATCTTCACCTTGCGATACCAATCTGTGACACCGTTTGATCGAGGAGCTACTAACATCGGAAAGACCCATCTTGTTATGTATTAAGCTTGAACCTTATCAATTAAGCTTACTTCAGAGTCCTCTGGGATGCCATTGAACAGCAATATGTTTTGCCGTTGTCGCATGTCAAGTCCATCAATTGTGTTTATACAACTTCTAACTTGCAGTTGCAGTAGACTAAATATTTGTGTGGCCAAATTCTTGAATGCATAAAATTCCTGACTTAGCTGCACTAACGTTGGATTCTTCCAATCCAACGTTACCAGTGCAGCCTTCAGACGATCTTCGAACTCTGCCATCTTTTGCATCCAGCTGACTTCCAGTTCTTTCTGTATTTTGTCTACATTGTTGATGCTTGCCATATTGTAATTGTAATGTAACAGTGCTTAATGGTGGTAAATACAAGTGTTACTGATGGGTGATGCAGTAAATTATTAAAACCTTGTTTACATTGATAAATTATTATTTGAATACATAAAGACCTCTTTTCTTAAAGTATTTGTCGATGAATTTACCCCTAACAATTCTACAAATTAATATAATTTAAAATTATAAATAGGAGCACTTAAAACAGATGTTCACTTTCTACACGTACCCGCAGAAAAAAAAGTTACTTTTTCGATGAGCGTATCTGCAAATATTATAAATATTTGCAGATACGCTCATCGAAAAAGTAAGTTAATTAAATAATATAAAAACAAAACGCTTTAAATACTCGTGTAAATATAAGGAATCATCATGTTTTAAATTTTTTATTTGTATACCAACAACAATATTTAAATAATTAACTACATTTTATATAGGATAAGGGTGACAAACCAGCTCACAGTCCACCTGATTGTAAGTGGTTGCCGTGGCATGGGTCATAGACATCTACATCTATCCTCGATTACGAATCAAAATGCAGATGGGTGTCACCCATGAGGACTAAGGTGGAATGCCTCGTTTCGAGTAAAAGGGTTTCCGGTTCTTTACACTCACCATACGAAACATAGCAGCGTTAAGCTGTTATTTTACGCCTGTATTCTGTGAGACTGTGGTCCTTCCCCGGTTGAGTCGATCCATTCGTGCTACAACTATACCGGTAATATAGTTGAAGCATGGCTCTACCGCGCAAAAAATATATATTTTAAACCTTTTAATATTTTACTTATTTCTCATAATAATTATAAACTTTATAATGATATAAACAACAAAGAAGTTTTTCGTTCGTTATTTTAATTATTATTATATACATTGAGGGGGTGCTTTGCTTGGGAAAATTTTACTTAGGGTCTCTTTTGTACTTGGAGATGTTTGTCCCGGTAATTGAGTTTTCAGGACTTTTCGGGTTTGAATGTGTGTTGTTCAACTTTGTAACTTTTTATGTTAATTACAAACGGTTAGGTGAAGTAAATAAATAATCAAATAAAAATTTCCGACGTTTCTTAGCAAGTTGTGGAAGATATGAAAATGTATTAAAAAAAGAGACTAAATTACTTTTGCTAATGTATTATACATACAGTTCGCATTATGTACTTTCGACTACAGCGTGGGTTGGTGGAAAAGTAGTTACCTGATGACTACAGTCGCAGGTTCTTTGGATCCCAACCGGAGCACAAATTTTTGGAACTAGATATATGATAATATATAATTAGGTTAATAGGAATGTCAGATATACGAGGACAGTTATTGCATCCTAGTCTATCTGTGAGCCTATCGTATGAGCGTTACATTGGATATGGGGAGTTTAGACGTACGTGAATCTGTCACCCTTCTAATCGCGTGGGTGCCTTCAGAGGCGATTATGGGATATGACAGAAAGATCACATTGCATCCAATAGATTGCGGTTTAGTTAACGCCGGACGTAAAATAATCAGACTGGTAACGAGGACAATATTTTTTTTTTAATTGTTGCCGCAATCGAAATAAGATATGAAAAAAATATGGTACACTAACATTTATTAGAAGCCTATAGGAGTTCCATGTATTTTCTAAATTGCCTCTAACGAAACTCACGGGAGAATAAGAGGTGATGTATTTTCTTTTATGGTGCCACATAACAGAAAAGATTTAATTTTATTTCAATTATATAAAATTATGTATTTATTTACATACATAGAGTGTTAAGAATAATAATAAATTTTAAGTACATATCGTATAGGAAAATCCACGTGCAACGCAAAAGAAAACACTACCATTGCACACATATGTATGCATGTATATCACAAAGGTACTCTAGAACAGTAAAAATTGTACTCACAGTATACTTCCATGAAGGCTTCTGATTGTGCGGAGTGGAATGACGGTGCCTCTTCAGACACCTCGCAACGGTAGAGGCCACGGGACTTTAAAGTCAAGTCCCTCAGGTGCACGCGACGTGCGCTCGACTTTTCTAACTGTGAGTGCAGAGGCGTAATTAGGTTAATTATCGCATAATTACTTTTAAATTGCCTATATTACTTGAGCACAGCGTATAATTAATATAATAAGCGAAGTAACATTAGCGTCGAGTAGATGAAAACATTGAAATACTAAATATCGTTATTAAAGATTATGTAAATTCTCCAGTAGAGTAAGCCTTTAGTAGGCCATTCCTACTAATTAATTTACAGAAAGAATATTAAGAATAATTCTAATTAAAAATTTTGTACAACCGACTTCAATATAAATTATTAAGAATAACTCAAAAAAACCGGCCACGTGCGAGTCGAACTCGCGCACTGAGGGTTCCGAACAAATCCGTAGATATATAAGTTTAAAATTATTAAAAATATTTTTATTATATGATGCAACTAAAAATTTATGCTTTTCGCAATTTTTCTTTTATCTGTGCTATAAAACGTTGGTTCGTACCATATTTCAAGATTCTGAGTTCACGGGAAGTACCCTGTAGGTTTTGATTCCCTTGTGAATGTCGAAAGTTTGCGGCATAAACGGCTGTATCTCTTGATTGCGTTGGCTTAGAAGTTTGATTTTTTCACAGCTCTAAGGGAAAGTAGACTTGAGTATTTGATATGAATTTCAGCTTGATACCTCTACGCGTTACTGAGAAAAAGGGTCTTGACAGACAGACAGACAGACAGACAGACGGACAACAAAGTGATCCTATAAGGGTTCCGTTTTTTCCTTTTGAGGTACGGAACCCTAAAAATATTGGTCAGACCTTGATCAAATTTATATGGGACCACATGAGAAGCATCAGCTTTGAAATAAAAAAAATGATCGAAATCGGTTCACCCAGTAAACAGTTATGAGGTAACACATAAAAAAAAAACAGTTGAATTGAGTACGGTTTCCATTTTCGACGTCGGTAGAAAATACATGTTTTCTCCTTCTTTACCATCGCAACCTATCAAAAGTTAACTAAAGAACATAGTCCCATTATTGCCACATAGGAGGGATAAGACCCATAGTTATCATGCTTAGCAAGCGGGTTGGCAATCTCAGATTTTTATTTTTATTTATATGTTATTAGGAATACGCTGTTGCCCATCCCCTGGTTCACTTCTGCGGGATGATATGAGGTAGGGAATATTCTTACAATGTTCACACGGTTGTTCTTAAAACTAATTAAATACTTTTAGAATATAGTAACATAAGATTTTTACTGGAAACAAGGCATTCCGTCTTAGTCCTCACGGGTGGCAACGCATCTGCATTTTGATTCGCAAACGAGGATAAATGTAGATGTCTATGGGCCACAGCAACCACTTACCATCAGGTGGACTGTGTGCTCGTTTGTCACCCTATACTATAAAAAAAATCTAGATTATAGTATCAACATACACATCATTTCGCATCATAGATTTCTGGTTTTAGATACATATAGATATTTTAAGAATTTAGTAAATTTTTAGTAACTAACTTTACTATTACGAGTATGATGTTATTTTACTGAAGTGTTTGACGTCTTTTTGACATCATCAGGATGTCAAACACCTCAGACGCCCCATGAGCATGGCTTAAATTGAAAAAAGTTAAAATTAAACGCGATACAATCCGTACAACTATATATAACGTATTCCATGTGTAGTGTTCACGTTAATATAAGAAATCATAAAAAATTTCATACGCGGTATAAATAACCTCAACAAGTATAAACTTAACTGTAGTAAGTGCTAAAAAGAAGCTGTGGTCAATAGACATCTACATATATAGAGTGCCTCATTATCAGAAAAAGGAGCATTCAGTCCTCGTCACACCTAGTGCAAAACACAGCATGCGTATTTTATGCTGCTTTCCGACTAATTTGTGCTACAGCCATTTTAGAGTTACTGCGTGGTTTTACCACACTACTGTAGTTAAGTAAACAAAACCATAACGCACAAATCATGATTATTGACTTGCAATCATTTCACAACATTGATCTTCAGTTTTACGTTTCACGATCCGTATATTGTATTCATTTTTCTATCTGTTTCCGTTGTTTTTATTACCTACTAGTTTATTCAATGCCTTCAGATTTCATAATAAAAACGTTAAATCGTTAACGGATTAATAATGTATTGTTGAGGAATTGATTAAATATTACGAATACTGATTTGCAGTTTCCGACAGTATTCGAATGTTATCGTCGTATACAAAATCATAATTATAGCCATAAACCAAATACAAGTTGTAGTTTAAAAATATAAGATATTTCTTATTTACAAAGGACTAAAATAACAACAATTAATTTATAAAACACCTTACAATTCAATTAAAATTTTTTACAATTTTATTCTACTTTAAAGTTGTTGTTAAGATATAACTTTGTATTTTACGTCACCGTTACAGTTGGCGAACGATCTTTACGAGTCGCAATGACTATTCATTTCATTGGTTATAAAATATCAATGACTACTTTTTGTATTAGTGCCGAGCTGTAATATATTCTTACTTTATGATCACTCCTAGCTCGAACAGAAGTCGCACGGAGTTGTTGCATGCAGGTTGCATAACTGCTTTAAAAAAAATATCTTTTGTATAAAATGAACGTTTCTCGGACCATAGAAGAAGGGACAAAAAACTCCGTTATTCTCATATTTTAGTTGTTTCATCTATTTTTAATTGAATGCGGGGCATGTCTAAGTCCATAAAGTTCGCTCAATTTGCCACACTTCGCAGGAAGTAATCATTGAAGGTCAATACAGGTTTTATCATTTACTTTGTCAATTTTAGCTACATTTACAGGATATGGTGGTGGCGTAGAATAATTCAATACCTCACTTCCTTCCTGATTTTATAAGAGTATATGCCGGAATATCAAACTCGTTTTATTGATATAATTATGAAGAATGAAGACAAGACCATTATATCAACAATGACTAATAATGATGACGATGGTAGGGGAAATGATGATATTAGAAAGTGACGTCATCATCATTACATCCCTTCACAAGTCCAGCAAGAACCACCTGCATATGTATATACATCGTCTTGCGGGACTGTAGCACCACCCAAATTTCGACGGAATCAAAGGCTTTTTTATTGTCCACATACATAAAGCAAAGTGATGGATTGTACTCTTCGGTATTCTGTATTGCCGAAGAGTATGTTGTAGTCTATGGTACTAAAACCTTTCGGAAACCGCCTCGTTCGAGAGGCTGGAAGACGTCAAGATTGCGTGCGAGACGATTCGTAAAGAAAAAAAACCCTCTAAAACAGCACGTAGTCAACAGAGTGTTATCGCCTTTCTTAAAGAACAAGACCACCGCATATCTACTCCAAGCCTCCGGAATAGTGCCACCATGTAGGAAGAAATTGTATAGCTTCTGATCGATTTCTAGTTCTGGTTTCTGGCAGACAGATCTCTGGCAAAGACTTTACTTCAATACGAGCTGTATTGAAGTTGCGTAAGTTCCACCGCATGCATTTGGAGATCTATCAGTTCAGTTGCCTGTATGCTGTCTGATCTGCAGAAAACTATAGCTTCATTTCCCGTCTAACAGTCATGAGATTAAAAGTGTCATCGGAAATTTTTGTGTTTTTCTGCGTCTTGCAGAATTTAGCCCCGGTCGCATGGACAGTTTTCACGAGTTTTTCATTCATATCGTCCACTGTATTGCAGCCTTCTAAAAAATAGAAAGTGTAATAATGGACTATTTTACGATACCATAATATGAAATATTAGCATTCTAATATCATATATAATAATAATGTCCTCCAGACCGAATTTCGGCCACGGTGGCCAGTTTCAACGGAGCCTAGCCATCGGCGCAGGGCAGGATTATAGTGCCTAAGTGTACGCGCAAGCACAGGTGCACTCTCTATTCCTTCACTCTCATAGACCTCATGATCAGCAGTCGCACTACTGCAACCACTAGACCAATGAGGCAGTCAATATTATATATATATACTAGGTGAAGTGTAGGGTGACCCCCCACGAGATGGAGTGACGACCTGGTAAGACATGCAGGAAGTCGATGGATGCAGGTGGCTCAGGACTTTTTGGCATTCCTTGGGGGAGGAATATGTTTAGCAGTGGACTTATGAAAGGCTGTAATGATGATGATGATGATACTAGCTGGCCAGGCAAACGTTGTTCTGGTCATACCGACGACCCTTTGTCCTATAAAAAAAATCCTTAAATTCGCAATAAAAAAATATTGAGGTCACTTATTTGGATAAAAAACTATGCTATCTCTCAAGTTGGACTAAACTGCACAAAGTGTGCAAAATTTCATAAAATCAGTTCAGTACTTTAGGAATTCATCACGGACAAACAATGTGACACGTAATTTTTATATATAAAGATATATAAGCATACTAATACGTTCAATCAATGTAATGTAGCTGTGATTACGAAAATCCATGACCTCTTATCATCTCTTGCATATTTTACAATATAACTGAGAGAATAAACATAGTAGTGAATTCATCGTGCAGATCCACTGCGGTTGTTTGTTTCTCTCTTCTAAGGGTGATGTTTACGGTAAGATGGGTAAATACGATATGAGATACACATTTGCTATTAATGGAATTAAAAAATTATAATCAAAAAGAATTACAATAATTATAAATGTAGTGGTACGCTAATGTAATCTAGCCTTATGTTAGGTAATAAAAATGCATTTTGTTTGGATTACGAAGTAAACATTTTTAACAGACTTAATTAGTTTTTACGCAAATTTGTTCAGGGCTTGTTAAATTACCACACAAATGCGACACGCAACGCGAATTTCCATTAATGCAGATATCGTAGGGTTTAAATATACCAGAGGTTTTGTGAAAAATGATTAAAAATTTTTTTTGTGCTAAAATGTCATGTAAAAACGGAAGAGATTTTCTGGTACGTGATTTTTAGATGTCATGATGATGACACATTTTTATATAATGATAAACGTTTACAGCTCTGTGAAATAAAAAATATACCACGTTTTAAAATTGCGCTCTCTAAAGCTCTTTTACCTTGATATATTGTTTTATATTTAGCCTTTTGCGGAGTTTTTGTTTGCTTTAGAAAATATTTTATGAACCGTAATTTCAACGCTATGTTGCGACTGATAGCTCGTTATTGAAGATTATATTGCTTGCAACAAGTTTTGAACAGTTTACTGAGAGCTGTTTTGGTAATATATTTGACGCAATGTATAAAGTTTGGCTAGTTATGGAGCTGAAAAAGTAAGGGATATGCGATAAATTTAATTTAGAGTCAATTGATGGCTTTCAGGTACAATACCTTAGCATTAAGTAAGCTCTAATCCCGCACGGAGGAAGTATTTTCATGGCCTATAAATATTAATTGTTCCTGGATGAATGATTGGATTTGTCCTTGGGTATGTAAGTTGCTTCCACGATACAGGGAAAATTTCAGGTATAAGGATAACGTTTTAAAAGAGAAAAATAAGCTAATAATCACATATTTTTTGTGATAGTCGAAAATAGTGCTTTAAATAAGTTAACAATATTTTTAGAAAATCGAATATATAATTCATTTCAGATATTCGCATACATGTATGAGTCTCTTCGAGCTGTAATGATTTACTTTAGATACTTATTATGGTTATTATTCTAGGGAGAAAAGTACTTTAGGTGGCAATTAAACTTAATATATTTTACAAGCAAAATGAGTAAAGCTGAAATTGATAAATGTTATTTAAATCCATCAGGATGTTTATATCAGCAACACCCAGTTTTAGTTATTTGTCTATTTATTTATAATTAAAATATGTTGTATTCAAACATTTGATTCCAATACTTACATCAACTTTGACGCCATCAAGTTTATGAGCATGCTGTTGAGGCCTTAAGCGTGGCATGTATCTGTAGAACTCCTCGTTATCTCTATACCACTTGACAGAGTAAAGTTTTCCACCTTCTAAATCATAGTCGCAAGTCATCGTGACGGATTCGCCTCGCTGTTTGAGACTCGGAACTGATATGCCCACAACTCGCAAGCAAATTGAAACTGTAACAGGAAAATTTCTTGAGTGTGCTTATGTAAGGTAATGAGGTTTTGAAAAGCAAATAAAATGTATGTAAAATAACAAATACTATATGTATTGAATATGTTCTCCTGGTCTACAAAAGCGAAAACTTTAGAATACTGTGGACATCGATCAACTGTTTAGGAGATATAGTGGCGTAAGTTACACTAATACGGATACGGCTTAAGCGATGTAATAAGATCAGAGGTAGACAGAAATGCAGTATCAGCAACATAGGGCAGATTATGTTCGTTCTAAATAAGATTTGACCACTGTAAGTGGCTTTTAAAACTGTTATTATGAAAAGTTAGACAATCTAAAAAATTGTAAATTTATAGGACTTTAATAGATTTTTGATTCAAAAATATATTATAATTATTACATATTTTGATCAAATTCGTTTTAAAAGTAGCTTACGACTAAAAAGAAATATAAAAATATCAAAGTATTACCAGTATTACTGAATAAAGTTGTATATTTTCTAAGTTAAATAGACATATCATAAGTAAAATATTTTATGAAGGATAAATTTGGAGAAAGGGAATACTAGCCTAAGCCCTAGTAAAACTATATTATGTTAAAAATAAACGAAAGAAATTTTCATCGTTTGATGGTTCTCAACGCTAAGTAGCGTACTAATTTACTCCCTGATGTGCCGCATACGGGGCGGCTCAAATGGCTAAATGCAACTGTTCGCCTGGCGGATGGAACTGGATTGCCCTATAATGAGCACTCAGGATCTAAATCTAAATTTGGATTATGTTAGAGCCGTGTATCTGTTTTGTTGTGTTTGTGTATTTTATATGAATTTAAGTAATTGTAATAATTTAATTTAAATGAAATATTTTTTTTTATCTAATTCATATAAAATTGACATCATAACTTAGATTTAATATTTTAATTTCAATGTGTATTTATGAAGTATGATATGGACTAGTTCCGAAATAAATGATATAAATTTTAATTTATGGACTTTTAATAATGAGCTATTTAAATGCCTGTTTTAGGCGTTCCATATATCAATAATAAAATATATTTCATCGGCTGTGTTTAATAAATGGCTTACATATTATTTATTATTTTTTGTTTGGAAATATGTCTTTAAAATGCAAATACTTGACAGTTAATAAAATACATGAGAATGCTTACCTTTACCATATGTTAGCAATAAAAAACTGACTAATATTACACTTTTCATTTTTGTGATTGTCTATAATATTATTATATACAAAAAGAATTTCATTCCAAAACGACTAAACTAGGTGCAGTATAATATTTTTTGAAACATTGAAATATGTCAATAGCATCGTGGAAACATTAACAGGAGTTCATATAAATACATAAAAAAATCACAAACTAATTTTTTGCACTACTATTACACTACATTTTTATGTTAAGAAATCTTCCGAAAGCAACTTTTGTAGTATCCTCGGATCGCGAATGAACGAGCGTAGTGTTCCGCGCGTCCCGTACAACTGTTGCTACGAGCGTGATAATGCTACGGACCGTAGAGGCTACGCTCTTCGATTTCTTTTGTACCTGGCTAGATTTTTTTTTATTAAACCGTGAGCTTCTATTAAATTATATTTTTTTTTATTAAATTATGGCAAGGTTCGAGGTATGAATAATATTTCAAAGAGTAATCTGAGTGATATAGATACGGTTTAGAAAGAAATAAAAGTTTAAGAATAATATACGTTTAAATAATATATGAAATTTCATTTTGATAAAATACTTTATGTTAAAATAATAATAGTGAAGAAAATAAGGAATTTTCTAGAATAATACCTTAATATTATATTTAAATAAAAATATTATATTTAAAAAAATTGAATATTATATTTAAGTTAAAAACATGTTTTGCCGGCAGAGTATTTAAAAAAAACAATATTGCAAGAAAATTTCCAGCATTAGTCGGATTCATTTGGGGTCGCATTAGTATCGTGCCTGTATCAAAGCACTGACCACGGATTAGTGACGGATTTATTAAATAGGTAATTCGCTAATGGGATATGGGTACCACATTACACATCTTCCGACACATTATATATTCATTTATTGAAATGCAGAAATTTTAACTATTAATAAGTTTTTCAATTGTTCAAAATTCAATTTTTTTACATTATTGATATCAGTATAAGATATTTTGCGTTGTTGATGGATGCTTTTTCCCGTAGCCGGTCTGGGAATTTCACATTCAGTATATACAAGATTGTTACCTGTTTATTTGCCTATTTTTATTATATAACCGTGAAGTGTAAGTATATCTATTACCCTATTTAATCCCGTGGGTGCCGTAAGAGGCGACAGAAGAAAACTAAACTAAGAAATAGGCACCAGCGTCTTCCTTATAGCAACTAAAAAATAAAACAAGAACTGCGGTTGCCAACCCACTTGCCAAGCGTGGAACTATAACAAATATCCCCCCCCCTACGAGGAGGCCTATGCTCAGCAGTGGACTGTTGATAGTCTGTAAGTGTACTGTAAAGGTATTATTATTATTAAAAACTTGCAAATTTTTTTTGCCCGGATTCAAAAATTAGGAGGTTCTCAATTCGAATATATGTTTTTCAGGACTTCAAATCATCACTTTTACAGGCCGCGAGCTATTTGAGATGGTTATCTCGTTTGCTGTCCCATACCATTTTATCTTTTTGGTATCTCACAGTAGCTCCTAATAAACCATCCATTCCATTTCGTCACATAATTAATTATTTAATACAGCTCACAAGGCACAGTACTGCTTACGGTATTTTCTTAATCCTTTTGGTTTTAAAATGAACATATTTTAGGTAGTAAATAATTCTTAACATAGCTAGCATAATATCATCCCAACATAGCCGTACGGATTAGTAAGCTAAAGTGGCATATAGCTCGAAGAACCGACAACCGACTAAACCAGTAAGCGAAGTGTAGGGCGGCCTCCCACTAGATGGAGTAGCGACCTGGTAAGATATGCAGGTAGGATTTAAGTGGCAGAGTTAACGTACTTTGTGATATTTCTCGGGGGAGGCCTATGTTCAGCATTGGACTTGTAAAGGGCTGAAATTAATGAAAGAAATAATAATTCTTGACTGTGTAATGCTTGTATCGTTTTCTACAGAAAGTTGGGTATAATTTAGCACATCCATACGTTGTAAGTATTATAATGTTCAATACATACTACTTGGCGATTTTGCAAGTGAGAAACGTTATGGGCTAATATTACTAACCAGATTAGTTCTAAGACTATAATAGTACTTATTTACTTTGTATATAATGTATGTATAATATGTAATATGTATGTATAATGTATATAATGGTATAAATTCATAAGTTAATAATGTTATTTTTACTATCCAATATAAAATGTGTCGACGATAGTGGACATCACCCTAATGCTTTCCCTAGAAATTATTGGTAGCGGAAAATTTTCTTTGAACTTAGTGGTAACGACTTTTGAGGATATCTTTTTGCATAATTTGTGTCGATTTTATCAGCCCAATGGTAATATTTTACTTAGTTTAAGAGCCTATGTCTATAGGCCTAATAATTAATTACTTCGCAGATTACAAAGAATCAAAAATGGGTGTACTCGGGTCTAAATTAACGCTTGATTCAGATTTATTCGGAAAATGAATCCGAATGCGGTAATAATTTGGATTGCAAATTTTGGTTTCAACGTCGTGCCTCATTTTCATGGCCGGAATGAATATATAGAGATCATTTTTTTAGGTTCAACGCATAAATTGAGAAAATAGACTGACGTTAATGGCAGACATTTTTATCTAGTTATTTTTTAATAAAACTTAATTTTCTATTTTGTATTTACTATAAACAGTATATTTTAATATATTTTATTTTAATATGTCATTGACACAATCTTAACAATAAAGCGCGTAATAGGTGAATTACATTATATTCTAATTCTAATACAATTTTTATAGCGTTATTTTAGAAATGTATTTAATGCGTTTGTTTTAGGTGTCCGTGAGCTTTTACCCTGTTTTTCTTAATTAGCGATCCGGCGATTATAATTTAAGTTTAATTATATGATGGTGAAATTGCCAACGGTACTGCTAGCATTTTTAATTATGTTTATCCTGCGCTTTATACGATCAAAGTGATGTTTAATTAAATTTTGTATTATCTAGACAGTAATTCCCATGATGTTTTATTGGTTGTTTATCCTTTTAATTAAGTTTATAATGTTTATAGAATTAATATCGTTATTTTTATGTACATCACTAAATATCATGTCAACAGCTGACAAAACTCATAATAATAAACAACTGCGGTCGTTAACCTGCCTGCCAAGCGTGGCAACTATGGCAAATAGAGGCATATGTTTAGCAGTGCACTTTTGATAGGCTGTAATGAAGATGATGATACCTATGTTTTGTGTTTTGGAAAGAATATAACCAAAAAAAACCAACGCGTGTTTTTTTACTTATCTTTGAGCTTTGGAAATAAGTAAAAGTTAGAAGGTGGAAATATGGCGAGTAAAGTAGGACAGACACATTTTTTTACTTTAAAATTTAGCGCATCGTTGTAGAGGTGCCAGAGAAGGTGCTGGATTCATGACTATGTCGCTTGTTGCCATACTTGATACACTTTTAGGACACAGACATCAAATACCACTCGGAGTTAATCGTTCTTTGATTTTCTAATACCACAGTAACTGTATGAACATAAATCTCAGTATATCGTGTAGAACGACGAGACGACCACTTGTTTCTGTGTGTGTGTTGCAACGGAGATATTTCGTTAGAGTTAGTTCATCTTAAAAACATCATAGTAGTCGACAGTAGCTTTGTATAGGTAACATAGTTCCCTTGACGGTCTTTCTACTAATCCATAAATTTGTGCGCCACTCATCCCAAAGAACTCATAGGGGAGAAAGTTAATAGTAAATGAAAGTTTTCATTTCTGCTGATCTGATACCTAGTTCTTGCTTTAGCCACATATGTAAATTGTCAGTTTTTTAAAATAATTTTTTCGACTGCTCGAACATTAGTTTTATGTTATCGGAGTGGTAGCTGTCCTCATTTGAATTTAGAAAACAGTTAAAAATATTGCCGGTGAAACAATTAGATGATGAGTCTAAAACTGGTCAAACCATTTAAGAGCTCTAAACTTACTCTATAGCCATGGTAAATCATAGTGCGATAATGAAGTTGACTGAGCACTATAGCCCTAGACGAATTCTCAGCAGATACTTATGAAAAAAAGCATTTTCCAAATAAAAATATTTAAAACAATGTGTTATATTTTCAAATACATATATATATATATATATATATATATATATATATATATATATAAAGTTTGACAGCCTGAAACAATCTAGTAAGGAGTATCTAACTTCAGATTTCGCCAGTAAAAATATATATAAAACATGTTAATAGTAAAAACATTAATTGTAAAAAAACTGTTATATAAATAGCAAACGTAGTAAAACGAGGTGGTAAAGAAAAGGTTCTTATTGCTTAAGGAAATGTCCAGCAGATCTTATGGTCACTAATAGAAATTGCCGTATTGCCAACTGAGAAAGAAGGTTGATGTGTGAGCGGTGATGGGAAAAATTGTAAGGAAACCAATTGTTCATTGTTAGAGATTCCAGCCGTGTTATGTATGGAGGCTGCATTTTAATAAGCCTCAGTTTTCAGGAAAAGGGTATACAGAAATCTTAAGCTGCTATTTTACGCTGGTATCATACGTGGTAAAGCTATGCTGCAGCTATATTAGTAGTATAGTTGTAGCACGAATGGTTGGCTCGACCGGGGAAGGACCACGCTCTCACAGAATACCAGCGTAAAATAGCAGCTTAACACTGCTGTGTTTTGTATGGTGAGTGTAGAGAACCGGAGACCCTTTTTACTGGAAAAGGGGCATTCCATCTTAGTCCTCACGGGAGACAACGCATCTGCATTTTTATTCGCAAACGAAGATAGATGTAGATATCTATGGGCCGCAGCAACCACTTACTACCAGGTGGACGGTGTGCTCGTTTGTCACCCTATCATATAGAAAAAAGAAGTAGAAATTATTAAAAAAACATATTTACAAATTAACCGCACAATGCCAGTGTAAGAATACCCACTCACTCCCTCCTATCGACCCAAGGATGTCGTAAGAGATAACAGAGGAAAAAAAGCAGGGGATGGGCAGCAGCATCTTCCTGATTACAACTCAAAATAATAGAAATTGCAGTTGTCA